GTCATTACATACTCATCACAGGGGAAATCCACCATGATGAAGTGTCTATCCTGAACATCTATGCCCCAAATACAAAGGCATCCACATTCGTATAATAAAGATTACTAAAATTTAAATCACATGTAAAGCCCCACACACTTAAAGTGGGAGATTTCAATTCCCCACTCTCACCACTAGACAGGAATACCAGACAGAAACTCAACAAAGAAGCAAAGGATCTAATAGAAGTAAGGAACCAACTTGGATTAACAGACATCTATAGAACATTTCATCCACATAAAAAAGAATATACTGTCTTCTCACCACCACATGGAACCTTCTCAAAAATCGACCACATACTTGGCAACATATCAAACCTCAGCAGCTACAAAAAATTGGAATAACTCCATGCATCTTATCAGACCACCATGCTTTAAAATTAGAATTCAACGACAACACAAATTGCAGAAACGCTAAAAACTCATGGAAATTGAATAATGCACAAATGTACCATTCCTGGGTCAAAGAAGAAATAAAAAAAGAAATTAAAGACTTCCTAGAATTCATTGAGAATGAAGACCCAACATATCTAAACCTATGGGAAACTTTGAAAGCAGTGCTACGGGGGAAGTTCATAGCACTAAGTGCCACATGAAGAAACTGGAGAATAGTTATACTAGAGAATTAACAGCAGAGCAGAAAGTTCTAGAACACAAAGAAGCAAACTCCCCCATGAGGAGTAGATGCCAGGAAATAATGAAAATGAGGGCTGAAATCAATAAAGTAGAAACCAGGAAAACAATACAAAGAATCAATGCAACGAAGAGTTGGTTCTTTGAGACAATCAACAAGATAGACAAACCTTTGTCCAAACTTACCAAACAGCAGAACATGAACATACAAATTAACAAAATCAGAAATGTAAAGGGGAACATAATAACGGACTCTGCATAAATTCAGAGAATCATCAGGTCATACTCTGAAAACCTGTATTCCACAAAATTCGAAAATTTAAAGGAAATGGATGACTTCCTAGATGGCTATCACGTGCCAAAATTAAATCAAGAACAGATATTCAATTTAAATAGACCTATAACCCCTATGGAAATAGAAGCAGTCATCAAATGTCTCCCAACCAAAAAAAGCCCAGGTCCAGATGGCCTCAGTGCAGAATTCAACCAGAAATTCAAAGAATGGCTTACATCAATTCTTCTCAAAGTATTGCACTCAATAGAAGCAGAAGGGTCTTTGTCAAACTCTTTCTATGAGGCTTCAATAATCTTGATCCCCAAGCCACACAAAGACACAACTAAGAAAGGGAACTTCATACCAATATCCCTCATGAACATTGATGCAAAATACTCAATAAAATACTGGCAAATCAGATCCAAGACCACATCAAAACAATCATTCACCATGATCAAGTAGGTTTCATCCCAGGGATGCAGGGGTGGTTCAACATATGAAAATCCATCAATGTAATCCACCATATAAACAAGTTGAAAAACAAAAATCACATGATCATCTCAATAGATGCTGAAAAAGCCTTTGAAAACATCCAACATCCCTTCATGATAAAGGTCTTGGAGAGATCTGCGATAACAGGAACATACTTAAACATAATAAAAGCTACAAACAGCAAAGCAACAGCCAACATCAAAATAAATGGACAGAAACTCAACACAATTCCACTAAAACCAGGAACAAGACAAGGCTGTCCACTCTCCCCCTACGTTTTCAATATTGTACTTGAAGTTCTGGCCAGAGCCATACCACAACAAAAGGAGATCAATGGGATACAAATTGGAAAGGAAGAGGTCAAACTTTCACTATTTGCAGATGATATGATAGTTTACATAAATGACCCAAAGAACTCTACCAGGGAATACTTACAGCTGATTAACACCTTCAGCAAAGTGGCAGGCTACTAGATCATCTCAAGAAAATCAGTAGCCCTACTATACACAGATGATATAAGGGCTGAGAAGAAATCAGAGAAAGATAACCCTTTACAATTGGCACAAACAACATAAAATACCTTGGGGTAGCCATAACCAAAGAAGTGAAAGACCTGTATCTCAAGAACTTTGAGTCTATAAAGAAAGAAATTAAAGAAGCCCTCAGAAAATGGAAAGATCTCCCATGCTCTTGGATAGATAGGATCAATGTAGTAAAAATGGCAATTCTGCCAAAAGCAATCTACAGATTCAATGCAATCCCCATTAAAATACAGGGCAACATCCAGAGGCATCACCATCCCTGACTCTAAGCTCTATTATAGAGCTATAGTCCTGAAAACATCTTGGTATTGGCACAAACATAGACAGGTAGACAAATGGAATCGAATTGAAAACCCTGATATTAACCCACACATGTATGAACATCTGATATTTGACAAAGAAGCTAAAAATAAACAATGGAAAAAAGAAAGCATCTTCAACAAATGGTGCTGGCATAACTGCATGCTGGTATGTAGAAGAATGCGGATTGTACCATGTCTATCGCCATGAACAAAACTTCAGTCCAAATGGATCAAAGACCTCAACATAAATCCAGCCACACTGGTGGGTGGTACCTTTGAACGAATTTGTATAGGAGAAAGCTTCCTCAGTGTAACACCAGTAGCACAGACAGTGAGATCAACAATTAATAAATGGAACCTCCTGAAACTGACAAACTTCTGTAAGGCAAAGGACACAGTCAGCAAGACAAAAAGGCAGCCCATAGAATGGGAAAAGATATTCACTAATGCCGAATCTGACAGAGGGCAGATCTCCAAAATTTACAAAGAACTTAAGAAGCAAGTCTCCAAAACACCAAAGGATTCAATTAAAAAGTGGGGTACAGAACTAAATAGAGAATTTTCAATAGAGGAATCTAAAATGGCTGAGAGACACTTGAGAAAGTACTCAACATCCTTAGCCATCTAGAAAATGCAAATCAAAACAACTCTTAGATACCATCTCACTCCTGTCAGAATGGCTAAAATCAAAAACACCAATGACAGTTTATGCTGGAGAGGATGTGGAGAAAGGGGAACACTCCTTCACTGCTGGTGGGAGTGCCAACTCGTACAGTCACTATGGAAATCAGTATGGATATTCCTCAGGAAAATGGGAATCAGTCTACCACAAGACCCAGCAATTCCACTCTTAGGCATATACCCAAAAGATGCACATTCATACAACAAGGACATGTGTTCCATTATGTTTATAGCACCACTATTTGTAATAGCCAGAACTTGGAAGCAACCTAGATGCCCATCAACTGAAGAGTGGATAGAGAAAATGGGATACATTTACACAATGGAGTACTATTTAGCAGAAATAAACAATGGAATATTGAAATTTGCAGGCAAATGAATGCCACTAGAAGAAACCGTCCTGAGTGAGGTAACCAGTCACAAAAAGAGAAACATGACATGTACTCTCCCATATATGGATTTTAGACATAGATCTTGGGAGTGCCAGCCTAAAATCCCATGGCCAGATAGTCTGGGAAACAGAACCTTCATTCAGTGGCTGATGGAAGCAGAGGCAGACTCCCACGGCTAAGCACTGAGCTGAACTCAAGAAACCCAGTGACAGAGAGGGAAGACTGATGACCACAGGGATTAAGTCTGGGCTGGTTTAACCCCCAGAAATAGCTGACCTAACAAGTTGTAGCTTTTGAATCCCAGACTGATCCAGCATGGGACTGATCAAGACCCCCTGATCTTTGGTGTCAGTGAGGAGGCCTAGGTAATCTATTGAGCCTTGGGTAATAGATCAGTATTTATCCCGGGTATACAAATGGACATTGGACTCCCATCCAACAATTAGAGATGCAGTCTCATCCTGAACTCGTTGGGGAGGATCTAGGCCCTGCCCTGGATGAAATGACAGACTATGAACACCCCCATGGAGGGCCTCACCCTCCCTGGGGAAATGAGGGCATATTGCGGTGGTTGGTGGGAGGGCACGGGAGGAGGGGAGGGAAACGGAGAGGGACCTGAATTGACATGTGAAGCAACCATATATATATATATATATATATATATATATATATATATATATATGTATGTATATATGAAATGGTAGTCTTTACCTGGAAAGGTAAGGGGACAGAAAGAAGTTAAAGACAATGAATTCTGTTGTTAATTTTTCTATTTATTTATTATTTCCTTTTACATTCCACCCAAAGTTCTCCCTCCCTTCCCTCCTCCTGCTCCCCTTGCCTCCCCACCAGCCCTGCCCCATCCACCCCTTCCAACAGGTGAGGCATTCTATTCTGGTAGTTCTGCTAACACTTTCCAGGTTTTGTGTTCATGTTTCTAATTGTATCATTTCTGTTATCTTTGAACAAAGTTAATTAGACATTTTCAAATATTTTGTGCCTTTCAAGCAATGTCTCTCTAATAATATATAATAACGAATTCAGTATTATAAATGTAATCTGATAGTATGTGGTCTCTTGTATTACTTAATAGAAGTCTAAATGTGATAGTTTGGTATAAAACTACAAACATGGAGATTTATTTTTTCTCATATATTTTTTATAAAAATTTTCCTCCTCCAGTGATTGAGGTTAATTAATAAGGAATTTATTGTTTTGTTTTCTTAAGTCTAGAAAAGTATTAAGGTAGGATTGTAAGAAAACTAAGTATGACATCTCACATTTGATTGATCACTGAAGTTCCAAACTGTCAGGTTCATCTGAGCTTTCAAATTGTAGATGGGGTTGAGATGCAACATAGTGGTAAAATGATTTCCTAGCATGTACAGTGGTCTAGGTTATTATTAGTACCACTAAAACCTCATTGCTCTAAAATCTGCATGAACTAATTAACTAGTAAAAGCAGTTGCTGTGATTTTTAAACTAAACGGTAGTAATATTCCACTAAGACAATACGGGTATAATTTATGAAGAACATAATGATGTTATAAATTCAGAAAATATAGCATGATTTTAGATATTTTATTTTCACATTTTTAATGCATAGTAATATCTTTCTTCATGTAAGTAATCTGCTTGTGTTTCAGGGACTATTCAGGCCTCTGTGTTGAAATGACAAACTTAAGAAAAAAGTACTGTGAGCAACAGCAACTCTTAACACAGGTATAAGTTGTTTTTCTAAAGGAGTCTTTGTTTTTCTTTTCTAGAAATTATTTTTATTTGATGGCACTCTGTGCATAAATGTAAAATATTTACAATATAAAGTCATTCGAAATCCAAATTATTATTCAGTTATAGTTGTACTTTCTAGAACCTCTCAAAACTTTGTTTTACTATTGATTTCTCCAAATATTAAGAACGGTGTCACAGTTATAATAGTCTGTTATTTTCAGGTACTCCATTTTATCTTTGATTTGATGAATGAAAACCATCCAGTACTAAAAAAGAGGAAAAGGTGAGTTTGCTGACTCTGCAAGTCCTACAGAGGCGCCTTTATTCTCTTGTCTAGTTCTGAACACGCCATAATGCATGGATTAAGTATGTACCACCAGAGAACAAAAATACCTGCTAAGGAAAACAAAACATATCATTGTCCAGCAGTAAACCCACTGTCTTAGTTAGGGCTTTATTGCTGTAAAGAGACAACATGACCGTGGCAACTCCTATAAAGCAAACATTTAATTAGGGCTGGTTTACAGTTCAGAGGTTTAATCTATTATCATTATGGGGGAACATGGCAGTGTACAGGCTGACACGGTGCTAGAGAAGGAGCTGAGAGCTTCACATCTTGATCCACAGGAAGCAGAAGGAAAAACTGTTTGCCACACTGTGTGTAGCTTAAGCATATAAGACTTCCACCCACCTCCACCATAATACACTTCCTCCAACAGGGCCACACCTACTCCAACAAGGCCACACCTCCTCATAGTGCCACACTCTATGGACCAAGCATTCAAACACTTGAATCTATGGTGACTGTTCCTATTAAAAATGCCACACTCATTATGAAAATAGAATACCTGTTGACTACAAACCATTCAAATCTTTCTCCTTAAGAACCAATTGTATTCCAGGCATTGGTGGCGCACACCTTTAATCCCAGCACTCGGGAGGCAGAGGCAATCGGATTTCTGTGATTTCAAGACATGTGTGGTCTACAGAGTCAGTTCCAGGACAGCCTCCAAAACAATACAGAGAAACCGTGTCTCAAAAATCCAACAAAAAAGAACCAATTGTATTAGGAAGCAAATTAACACTTATAGCACTGTGTGAACTAATATATTAGTGATTGTATTGTGAATGGGAGTAGACATAAAAATAATAAATCATACTGGGACTAGTTGTTAGCCTTAGGTTGCTATGCAGGAAATAAAAAAGTGGAACATTACAAAAAGAGAAATGATTAAAGAAAAAAAGAACAAAAAAGAAAGGATATGGTTTGGGGTTAAAGATGTAGTCAAAAAGAAGACAATAAATATGCACTCAAACAAGGTATAACAGTGTCATTTCTCTTGAGGTTGAGCCATTGCGACCAGGTAAACCAGGCTAGGCTATGTTCTTTGGAAGAGGTAAAAGAATAAGGCAAGTGTACAAAGAAATGAGTGGATGTGAAGAATACAAGATATGAACAGTGGAGGACCAAGCTGGCCTGCTATATTGCCCTGAATACTATTTAAATAAGGAAAAATGCGGGCCCAGTGAAGATCTGCCACAAGCTTACATTCTTACCTCACTGGATGGCTGACAGTGGTACTGAAGTCTGTAATTGAAGATTTCTATTTAAATCTTGTAATAATCTTGTGGTGTATGGTGATTGTTTTATAGTTACATAATTCCTTATTTCAGTTTGTATTCTACTTGAGAAAGAATATTTCCGTTTTCCTGATAATATGCAGTTAATTATTTCAGTATAGAATCATATATTCATAACTTATTTCAAGTATTATAATCCTTATTAAAATATATCCATTAATATATCCAGACATCATTATGGTCAATATTTACTTTGAACATAATAAAACGTCACAGGCTTTATCTGTCTTTTGTCTTCCCCAGCTCTTGAATCAGGTATAATTTAAGGAGCTTTTACTCTTTGCTTTAGTTTTAGATTACAAGTTGTACTAAAAGGTGTAAACATTTTGGAAGATGGCTAACAGACCACTGACTCTTTTAAGCGATCTCTCACTTAAATGTGCAGTGCCCTTTACCTCTGATACCAAGACTTACAGCACTAATTTCTAATGGGATTCATTATGTCAAAGGATGACTAAAACGTAGATTTTACATAACACAACTGACTGACCACTGCAACATTAATATAGCTTAAGCCATTAAATCTGTGTGTCTCATTGCAGATCATTATCACTGCTATCTGGAGTTTCAGATTCTGAATGGGATCGTCAGTATATGCATATTCCAGATGACAAGAAGAAAGAAGCTGTAAGATTTTGAAGTAAAATGGTGGCGGTGGATGAGATAAAAACAAACATTAGTCCGGGCATTGGTGGCACACACCTTTAATCCCAGCCCTCAGCAAGCAGAAGCAGGTGGATCTCTGTGATTTGTAGGGTAGCCTCATTTCAGGACAGGCTCCAAATACAGAGAAACCGTGTCTTGAAAAACCAAAAAAAAATTTATTTGTCAGTAAATTTTATAATTCTAGTTTCCATTATTTTCATATAATTGTTAAATAGTTTGAATGGTAATTGCATCAATTATGATCCAAGAAATACTAGTTATATACTAGGAGCATAGTCAGCTCTCATTTTCTCTAATCTTTGTATTTAGATGGAGATATTAAAAGATGGTTATGAACTTGTTGAAGACAAATATAAAAGTCTCCTTGATAGAGTCGTACCAATTTTTAAAGAATCCAAAAAGTTAATTTCATCTGTAGACAAGCCAAGTGGAGATGATGGGTAAGCAGATTTGTGGGCAATATATTTATAATGAAGCATTATACTGGTTATACATTAGCAAATTATTATTCTTCTGTAATTATTTATTATATAGTAGTACTTGAAGCCGTTTAAATGCTTACTCCCCTACATAAAAAACAAAAATACTTACAAAGCAGTTTGACCTGGATTTTATTACTGCAGAACAGAACATTCACAACAGGATATATATTTGAAATTCTTGTTGAAAAATTTATTTATAAAAAAGAAATAAGTAAGTTAAATGATTTAAGATAAACCTCATTGGTAAAGTAATTCTTGGCACATGGAAGTCCCTAGGTTGAATGACTCAGCACTGCAAAAAATAAACCCATACACATTACAAATTTAATAACTGTAATGAATACATATTTTTTAAAAATGGCATAAAAGATGAGATTTTCAGGGACTAGCGAAGTAATTCAGGAGTGTTGAGAGGGCCTTATGTCCAATAAGACTCCCTTTGGTTACCACCAAAGTGTGGGTGCCACTATGACTTGGAGCATTTTTAATACATGGGTTATTTGTAAAATTATTAGATTTTTACTCAATATTTAGTAAGAATATTTGTGAGGTTTTTTGTATGCTATTATTAAGACTGTTTTATTGTGGGAGACATATTGAAGTTTTTTGTTTAAACATTTGAAACATGAAATTCTTAGAAATTTGTTTAGACTTTTTGTTTTTGAAACAGTTTATGTAGCCTTGTAATCTTGACTGTTCTACACTTCACTATGTATCTACAATCAGAAATCTGCCTGCTTCTTCCTTCCAAGTACTGAGATTAAAAGCATGCTCCACTATGCCTAGCCTTGTTTAGATATTTAGATGAATGGAAAACCAGATGCAGAATTACAAGTCTGGCACAGGAAGAAACGAGTTTTATAAAAGAATGTCTAGCAAAAGGACTCTAGAGGGAAAAGTCTTCTAGTGACTATTTGGAGACAGATATTTATAAAACAACTTAAGGAAATATCAAAAGACACCCAAGAGTAGAATATTTTTGTGGCAGTGATATATTTGGGGCATAGCTGTGGGCCTGGGTATCCTAGACCTAGGAATTCAAAAGATATTAGCAAGCTGCTAAGTCACCTGTGTCTAAAAAATGTGTTTAAGGCCAAAATAATAATAATTGTCATATTTTTAGATAATTTAGATTTAGAATTATAACAGTAGTTCCTGAATTAAATTTTTGTACCGCGCACACACACACACACACACACACACACACACACACACACAGTATCTTAAAGGCAACTTCATGAAAGCCACCTCAGTAGTGATTTGTCATGTCTGCCTAATGAACAGGGGTAAATAGTCCTAACAGTAGGCACATCTCAAAATGAATACATTTATGGCCTCTAGAGATAAATTAGAAAGCTCTCAAGTATCTACAACTGTACAAATTTACCTCAAAGTTGAATTGATAATTTAACTTCTTAGGTTCAATGTATAGGTGTTTAAATATTTGAGAGCTTTCTAATTGTCAAACCAGAAAATGTTAAAATATTGTTACTGATCCAATTTGATTAATATATATGAGAATTTTTATAAAATGTATGTGTATGGGTATTTGCCTGCACCTATGTCTGTGCACCAATTGTCTCTCTGGTTGCCATGGATATCAGAAGGTGGCCTTGGATTGCCTAGAACGGAAGTTACAGACCATTGTGAACCAATATATCAGTGATGGGAATTGAACTCAGCTTTTCTGAAAGAAGAGGTTAACAGTGATCCATCCTTCCACCTACTGCTTATTCTACTGGAAAGAAATCATTAATCCTATGATGAAATTAACCTCTGCTGTAATTATACACGCATCAGGGGAAATTTAAATTTGCAGTGTAGCTTTTGTATCTTTCCCTTGATATAAGTTTAAATATAACTTGTTATATAATATAATAATCAAAGGACTATTTTGTTTTGCCTTTATATTTCCTCTTTAAATGACAAGAAAATATTCCCCATACTTGTTTCTCAATTAAAATAGAGGTGACACAGTATAGTGCTTGAATTTATTCATAAATGGTATTCTACTGTTTGTATATATATTTTACTTATCTACTCATTGGTTAATTGAAACAAAGTGGACATAAGTTATATGTGTATATATAAGCTATACAATTTCTCCACTTAAATTATTGCCACTATTTATAGTGAAGTTACTAGGTTTTAATTTGCCATCATAATTCCTTATGAGAGTATTTTCATTATTCCAATATGGTTTTTCATTCCCATTTGTAAGACTTATTTTGTAGCCCTAAAATTGAAATTTGACTGTTCTGGACACTTCATATCAATAATATCATAAAAGTAAACTTCCGTGTTTGGTTTATTTCTCTTACCATGTTTCCAAGGTTCACTTATTCTTCATCGAGGATTAATAGTTTATTTTTATTGATAAATAATAATTTGATCTGTCACTATGTTTGACCATTTTCTCATATGTTATTTAAATGAAATTAAAGGAGAACACATTATAAATTCTTTGATCTGAGTATTGAAAATCTGCTGATACAATATCAATAGATATACTATAGCCCATGGGATTTAAACTCTTGCAACATAATATTTTTCTGCACTGTTTTTCAGAAAAGACCCTAATGTATCAGTTCCAGATATACCTACAAATGAAGATTCACTGACCATTCAGTTGGATTTGACCATACCATTTTTACAAGAACAAATAACTAAAAAATCTTTTGAACAAGAGCCTAAGGATATGCCTTTGCAATTAGAGCTTTCTCCTCAGGATTCAGTTTTGATGGAAGATAAGTCAGACAATCTATGTAACAATATAATTAACAGGTATTCAGTGTCTTCCACCTTTAATCTACGTGTACGTTTACATAGTTTTGAAAAAATGTTTAATAGTATGCTGAAAGAAGCAAGATGTGATTAAAGAAACATTTCCCTTAGGTACCTCAATTCCTGACATTATCATGCTTCTCATGCATTACAGATACACTCAGATAATGCATTTAGTGTTTCTCCTCTGTTACAAAAATGAGAACCCAACATTGTTAGTGTAAAATACTCAATTCTATACCCAATATTAGCTCTGAAATTAGAGTGAAACTTCCTGCTTGGAACAGAACTATAAGAAAAAGGAGAAATATCTTCATTTCCTGAAACTTGAAGCTTGTGTATACTTCAGCAAAAATACTAGTAAATTGGAGCCACAAAGGCACCATTGTCAGCATATCGCTGTCCTGAGGATGTCTGCCTGAGTTTCACCTTCATCAGCAGTGCTTACAATAATCTGTTTGCATGTTTTATCATCTTAGATTTCATTTTTCCTCATTACAGGCTCACAATCATTGCCCAATCTCAGGAGGACAAAGATCACATGTAGTCCTTGTAGGCCTAATATACCCCCAAAGAACTTCCTCAGCTTGATCCTGAACCTCAGTGAAGAGTCTTAGATATGTGAATAAAGTAACACCTCTAGACATCAAAATAATCTACCTTTTAGGGCACTGACTCTCACCAGAACCTAACTAACCGTGACAAAAACAGTGTTGATTGGGATGCTTATTTTGAGTTGTTTTAACATAGATGGACTTGGCCAATACAGCTAAGTCCAAGATTTACCAGATTAAGAAAGATATAGGCCAGGCGGTGGTGGCGCATGCCTTTAATCCCAGCACTCAGGAGGCAGAGGCAGGTAGATCTCTGTGAGTTCGAGGCCAGGCTGGACTGACAGCCTCCAAAACAATACAGAGAAACCCTGTCTCATAAAACCAAAAAAAAAAAAAGAAAGATATAAAGAGGACCAAGGCTGCCTATGATATTGGCCTACAAGAATTTTATAGGCTCCTGAAGTCAAGTTGAGTAGCCATATTGATAACAATAATTGATAGAAATGTAAATGTTTCTCACAATACATGGTTTTTCTAATTAATGATGAAATGAAGTCAAGAGCCTCAGAACTCCTGATCAAAAGTAAAATGTGTATAATGCTTTTGATTACTGACAGCTGCTTATGTGAGTGCCCCACACACTCAAGACTATGGGCTCTCATCTTTTTGATTTGTTAGTTTGTTTTTGGTTTTGCAAGACAGGGTTTTTTGTGTAACAGCTCTGGCTGGCCTGAAACTCACTATGTAGACCAGGCTGACCTTGTACTCAGGGATCACCTGCCTGAGACTACTGAGTGCTGGGATTAAAGGAGTGTGCCACCACTACCTGGAGACTCTTATCTTTTGATGAAATTCAGACTGGACATTCTTCTTAAGAGGAATCAAGTCTAAGCCTAAATTTGAATATATGCAATTTCATAAATGTGAAGATCTTCTAGGTATTCTTGGTCACCTAGTTTATTGCTGAGGTGCCTTAGATCTTACTCTTCTGAGTCAGCAATTTTATTTTGTACCAAATGTGCAAAAACTCTTATTCTATGGCTATTGTCATTTTTCTTGGGTTGAAAAGTACTTCCTATTTAGAAAGAGAATAATGTGGTCTTTTTCTCTCATCTTTTTCTGGAGCTTGTTAGGTTGAAAACTCTAATTTTACTGAGAAGTAGGCTACTCTGAGTTATAACTGGTAAATAATATACTGAAATCTTCCAGCAGTAGGCTTTATACTCTGCAAGTGAGATATCTATAGCTAAAAAGTGAAATATTGGTTTATGGTTTCTTAGTTGAGAATTCAGCATAATCTTTTCACCTTATTGTCTGCTGGATTTCTCAAAGATTGGTTCTTTTTCCAACAATATTTAATTTATTTGATTTCTATATAGTTTGCCTATTTTAAAATTATTTTTCATTTCACATACCAACCACAGTTCCCCTTCTCCAGCCCCCGACATCCCTCCTTCCCATCCCATCTGCTTCTCAGAGGACATAAGACCTTCCTTGGGGAGTCAGCAAAGTCTGGCATACTAAGATGAAGCAGGACCAAGTCCCTCTCCTTTTGTTGTCTTATTGTTCTAGCTAGAACTTCAGGTACCATATTGAATAGATATGCAGAGAGTGGACAGCCTTGTCTTGTTCCTGATTTTATCGTGATCACTTTGAGTTTCCATTTAGTTTGATGTTGGATGGTGGCTTGCTGTATATTACCTTTATTATGTTTAGGTATGTTCCTTGTACCCCTTGTCTCTCTCTCCAAGACCTTTATCACAAAGGAGTGTTAGATTTTTGTCAAAGACTTTTTCAGCATCGAATAAGATGATTAGAAATGAAAAGAGAGACATAACAACAGGCACTGAGGAAATCTATAGAATCATTAAGTCATACTTTGAAAACCTATGCTCGACAAAATTGGAAAATTTCAAAGAAATGAACAATTTTCTGGAAAGGTACCACATACCAAAATTCAATCAGGACCAGATAAACTATTTAAATAGACCTATAACCCCCAAGGAAGTAGATGCAGTCATAAAAGATCTCCCAACAAAAAAAAGTCCAGGGCTAGATGGTTTCAATGCAGAATTCTAAAATAATTTTTTTAAAAAAGCTAACACCAATGCTCCTAAGTTGTTCCACACAATAGAAACAGAAGGAACATTGCCAAGTAAGAGGCAACAGTTACCCTGATACCCATACCACACAAAGATGCAACTAAGAAAGAGAATTATAGACCAATCTCCCTCATGAACATTGGCACAAAAATACTTAATAAAATACTGGCAAATTGAATCCTATAACATATCAAAAATTAGCCACCATAATCAAGTAGGCTTTATCCTAGAGATTCAGGATATGAAAATCTGTCAATGTAGTCTAGCATACAAATAAACTGAAAGATTGCTTTTATAGAAGTAAGAATATCATGATTTGCATCCACCTTTGTTACCTGTCTCTGTGTTTCTCATTGAAGGGATCATACTGAAGGAAATTTGGGAGAGCCAAATTCATTACTCTCTAGGATGGCAGTGAATTGTGACCTTGATGATTTCAGTGAGGTAAGCTTAACCAACTCAAATTTGTGAATTTCCTGCATTTGTATTGATTGCTCGAAAAGTAGAATGATATATGCAAATCAGCACTGATAATATCAGACCTAGGACTTAAGAATATTTGTGCTTTTAGCTGAGCATTTCTAATTTACTATATTTTATATTTGCCTAGTTTTCTGAAATAATTATGTTTCTCTTCCTTATAGTACCATCACAAGTTGTCTTTACATTGTTTCCCTTTTCCTAGTAACTTAAAATATTAAACATTAAAGTATTTCCTTATATAATATTATGATGTTTTGTGATTTTATGTATTCATCATTCCTTTTCTTTTCACAGTGTCTTTCAGTGCTGTACAAAATTTCCATAAGAGCTATATGTTTATATGTTTATTTATAATATGTCATTGCTGTTAGAGGATTTTCCTTGTAATTTCTTTTCAGGCAGCCTGTTATGAACTTCCTATTTTGATGACAGACACCCCCGAAAGTTTACTTGATATCGATATGACAGAAACCAATGTAAGATCTATGCCTTGTCTCTTTATTCCTTTTGACACATCATCTATTTGTAATTTACTCGTGAATCTTGCCACATTATATTATTAGCAGAAAAATCTTTTCAGTTAAGTGAATATTTAAGATGCCTTAAGGTATACTATTTATAATCTCTCATGGACATAGTCACACTATTTTAAGTGCCTTAAGGGTGATTAATTACAAAGCCTATCCAGCATAACGTGTTTTCAAGATTTTAATACATTAAGGTACTTATAACATTAGAAACCCATTTATTCAAGTACAAATACTTTGTTCCCACCTTTACAAAATAAGTACTGACAATAAATAATTGGCAAGCTTAATACATTATCATAAATACTTCTAGTACACACACATATAATTCCAGATAATTGGATGCTGATGCAAGGGAATCTCTTGAGTTCAGGAATTCAAGGCCAGCCTAGACAATATAGTAAGAACTTATCTCAAAAAATTGATACAGGCTCCCATATGGTATTTTCATACACATTTCATCTTGAAATTCTCTCTGCCACCCTCCCCTCACATTTCTCAATTTCTCTTTTTTCTGCTTGCCCTATTTGTCCCTATATTCCCCTTCTGCTTTGTTCTATTGCCTTCTCCATCCTGATTCCTTAAAGCCACTGTTTTCCATTGTAATGAACCCCTTTCTAGTTTCTTGACCTTTATCAATATTTACTTCTATTATGATATATATATTTAACAGTTAGAGGTTAGGATCCACATATGAGAAAATCACGTGGGATTTAGTGTTCTGGGCTTAAGTTACTTTGTTTAACAGAATCTTTTCCAGTTATATCTACTGTCCTATAAATTTAATTATTCTTTATGACACAGGTAATTATTAAGAAACAACTCAAGCCTAAATAGCTCAGTTGGGAGAGCGTTAGACTGAAGAAACAACTCAGTCATGGGGGAATGAGGCAGGACTGAATTAGTAAGACTGCCTTAGCATTAGTATCATCATATGATCCATTATTTACTCATTAAAAAATTACTATAGAATCCCACACCTTTCTCTTCTGCTATAACTTTATAATTATGGGTGAAAATATCTCACAAAAGAAAAACATGCATTTTATTCTATAACATGGCCAAATATCTAATCATTAAATGCACTAATGCATTATTATTTGATAGTTACCCAGATTTTATCAAAGGAAATCCTGGAATTTTGACTTGAATTAATTGGGTTAGGAAATGACCATAGTTATTGCTATAAATTAAAAGAGAAATAAAAAAGAATAGGACATCCAATTTTTGAAAAATGTCTTTATTCAAATCTTCCTTTGCCAGGTGTGCACACCTTTAATCCCAGTGCTTGGGAAACAGAGGCAAGCGGATCTCTGTGAGTTTGAGGCACCCTGGTCTACAGAATGAGTTCCAGGACAGCCAGAGCTACACAGAGAAACCTTGTCTCAAAACAAACAAAAATCTTCCTTGCCGAGTGAGAGTGGGTACATGGAAGGAATTAGAGGGGTGGAAGCTGAGAGAGGCTGGAGGGAAATAAGTGATGTAATTCTATGTTAATTAAAATGTACAAAATAATAAAATGAATTTTTAAAAAATCTTTCTCACTTGCCTACAAATAGTAATAAAGCACAATTCCCCCTATATTTGTATATATTTACAGGTATTTATCTTAACTTAGTAATATGTTACTTTTGTTGTGGTTTTAAGACAAAATAAAACCCTATTCTCTCAGGATGATTTCTCCAATTAGGGAAGCTGTATAGGTGGGACCATTATTTTTTACCATTGTTCTGTAATGGTGCTAGACCTTGAGGCAATTCATTCTTGTTATATTGTTTAGACAGAAATGACTTGAAAGAAGTATTATTTCCTTTTTGCCAGGCATAATAGGCATATTTGGTGAGTCTCGTTATTAACATTCAAACATGCATGTTTGAAAACATTCTACACTATGTTTGCTTCTGTCTTGTACAATAAATATTAGTGGATATTAGTTCAAGTTAAATGGAAAATAGACCTACATGGTATAGTTTTCTGTAGATGTACTGTGATTTGTTCTTTTTTCTTCTGTCTAAACAGCAGTTAGGAAGGAAAATTATACTTTAAAAAACATGATAAGGGAAAATGTACTTTTCTTAACTTATTAATCTATCAAAAATATGCTTCTTTGGGTACAGAGAATTGAAGCTACAGCCTCATATTTGCAAAACACACTAGACAGTCGCAACCTCAAGGGATAGATTTTATCTCAGTCATTTAATTTTATCACTAAAAATGACTTATTGATAAGGACTCTAGTGTTTTCTCTTTGTATCCAGATTCTAAGTCTAATGAAAAATGAAGGAGAAAGAAGTCTGCTTGAAACCAGTGAGGAAAAAGGTACAAAAGAATATTTTTAGAATGATCAAAAAATGTATGTCCTAGAGCCAGGCTCACAACTGATTGGCCATATGACATCCAGCAAACCATTTGACATCTGAAAGCCCTAGTCAACGCTTGTGTAAACTACTTTTCTTGTTTCCTAAGTTACTTTAAATATGATTATATATATGAAAGTACCCTGATAATGACTCTATTAACTTAAGGGAGACTATATCATTATGTGGCTGATTTTAAGACAAAATACCATGACCAAACATGACAAGGATGTGGTATAATTTTGTACTCTTCACATGACATTGAAAGTTCTTTTTCAGAAAATAAGTCCTTTGTTGTTTACTAGGCCTAGTCATTCACAGTCAGCCTTCTATTTTATGAGTAGTGTAGTCTACCATATTTATGTTCTTGTGGTTAATGCCTCCTTAATTCCAAACATGTATTTGAATGGAACTAGATATCTTTTTCCATACAGAAGCACCAAAACACTGTAGAGTATAACTCAGAAGAGTGGAAAGATAACAGTTAATGTCTTCCATGAAGCCTTTAACAGTGTAAGACTTGTGAATTATACTTTGTTGTAAATCTTCTGCTCCTACATCACATGTAATAAAGCACTGTCTCTCCACAGACAAAAATATGACACAATGCATGGAAAACAACCAGTCTTTACTATTAGATGGGACCCCAATATGTGATTTTGGAGAAAATCTTCAAGAATCTAATGACCTCTTTTTAGATAACCTGAAGAACCCATCAAATGTCATATCAGCTTTGTGTGATCATAATTATGTAAGCGTCAATATTTCTGCTACACAAGAAAATACTGCAAATGCTATTGAAAATGTTGTTCCCCAGTTGTCTATGGAATCAACTGAGGAATCTAATGCATTCCCATTTATTTTTCTCAATCCTGTTCCTCATATTTTTTGAAGAGCATATTAAGCTCAATCTTCTATTAGAAGTTATTTTGAGCCTCAAAGAATCTCACTTCCTGCTGGGAAATAGATATTCCACGGATGTTTGCTAGTATATTTATCTTCATTTTGTACCTTCTGCAACTTGAAAAATATGTTAAAATTACTGCTTCCCAGTATCAAGAAAGGCTTTGGCAACTAGGATGAAATGCAAACCTCAAAAGTATAAGGAATACATCCAAATTTTAAAATAACAAGAAGTTTTTAATTTTAAACCATTAATATTCTGATACCTTATTTGTGACTAAAACAGAGATTAGTGTTATTGCATTTTTCTAATTAGCAAATTTCTTCCAAAGCTACCTTTTGTTTATAGCAAAGAAGCAGTTATTCCAAGTTTTACTGAAAGAAAATCTCAATTTTAAAAGCAAGTTTTTGAGTTAATGATAATGATGTGGTTATTGTTACTCCTAGACTTTATAAAAACATTCTATGACTATACACTTTATTACAGTCTTACATAATTTTACACAATTTTTAATTCCTAAAGAAAGTTAAAATTTCATCGGAAAATGATATTTTTCTGTATAATGGCCATCTTCATAGACAAAGTCAATATGTTGGCTCCCTCCAAAACCTTGGATAAGAACTCCAAGAATCAAACTAGCAAAGTTTGTCCTTAAAGCATAAGGGAATGCAAAAGCAGCTGAGTTATTAAAAATTAAAATAAAAGATTCACAGTCAACCATTTCTCAACTATACTTATCTCTCATTTCCAAATGCATCTTTAACTTTACCAGAATTCTTTGGCACAAAAGTAATTATTTGAAATACTATTATGTTTCCATAACAGTATGGTTTTACATTGACCTGGAGCAGTTTGCATACAAACTATGCCAATAGCAGTGCTCATACATGCCTAAGCATTGAGCACCATAGCACTTAGACTCGAGGGTTATCTTTTCATTGAGGAAACACTGAAGAGCATGTTTAAGGTTTTCTGTTAGTGATTTGAATACTGAAACATCAAGTTTGTAAAGACTTCAGTCTAACACTTTCTTACTGCTCTATTCCACCTGCTATACTCACAAAAAATTTACTCGTGTTTTCGCCCCCTTGATTTTTTCAAAATTTCACATGTTCTTTTATACTTTCATTAATGGAGTCAACCGTAAAAGGAAGGGAAAATAGCTCATTGTTTTCAGTACCTATTTTTTAAAGTGTGTCCTTGTTTAAATAAAATGGTTTGTTTAATTTTGAAAATTCTTATGGAAAGTTCAGATCTCATGTAACTATGAGCGAGCTTTTGATATTCAGGAGTGAAATAGCCTATTTCAAAAACAGAAAAATATTTTGTCATTGTAATGTTCTTTCAGTCAATAAAGAGCTGAGCAGTCTTTACATAGTATCGCTTTCTTTGGTGTACACCAGGACACGTGACAAAAAGGATTGAAACTTCTAAGATGCATGCATGTATAGTAAGGAGAAGGTGTCACACACATACGTAGATTTGTTTGTGCTATTTCTGTTCACTTCAAAGAAACCCATAACCCACAGGGAGGAAACCTGTGCTTCGTACTGTGATTTTCATTTAATAATCCATATCTTCTGGAGCAACAGTGCCACCACCACACCCATCATGCCAAGTGTATCTATTCCAACTCTATTTTATTCTATTTTGAAATAAGCTTTTAAACGAAGGAATTTCCATAATGATTTTTAAAGCATATTTAGTATTGGTGTAGCCACTCACTAGCCCTTTCTCCGATAATCACTGGGACCCAATCTCTGTTTAATTCCTTAGCACCTAATATTTCTTTTTCTTCCTACACTTTGCATATTGGATATTCTGCAATTACTCAAATTAATTTGTTTTAGTTGTATCATGATATAGAAGGTTTCCAACTGAATTTCCATACACACTTCCTTTGATATTAGTTCACACATTCTCTCTCTCTCTCTCTCTCTCTCTCTAATTCCCCTCATACTTCAGTGCCACTTCTGAGTTAAGCCTTTCCACTTTCCACCTAGAGAAATCAACCTATTTTTGTTCTTACCTATAATCTACTATTCCCTCTTCCTTAATACACCTCCCACACACAGTTTCCCCTTTCTAGTCTCCTGGTGTCCACTTGTTCACCAAGTTAAATACATAAAACAAAAGTTTTGAAGCTAGGGTCCACATATGAAAGGGAATATATAGTGATTTTGTCTGGTCCTGCATTAAATTTTTCAGTGTAATTTTTGCAGTTTCACCCATTAACCTGCAAATTTCATTTCATCCTTCTTTTTTGTTTGTTATTTTATTTTTAAATTTAAATTTAAATTAGAAACAAGGTTGCTTCACAAGTCAGTTCCAGGTCCCTCTCCGTTTCCCTCCCCTCTTCCCGTGCCCTCCCGCCAACCACCCCAATATCCCCTCATTTCCCCAGGGAGGGTGAGACCCTCCATGGGGGTGTCCATAGTCTGTCATTTCATCCAGGGCAGGGCCTAGAACCTCTCCCAAGAGTTCAGGTTGAGAGTGCATCTCTCATTAGTGGATGGGAGTCCAAAGTCCATTTGTATACCCAAGATAAATACTGATCTACTGCCCAAGGCTCAATAGATTACCTAGGCCTCCTCACTGAAATCCACACTCAGGGGGTCTTGATCAGTCCTATGCTGGATTCCCAGGCATCAGTCTGGGATTCAAGAGCTAACCCTTGTCAGGTAAGCTGTTTCTGGGGGTTAAACCAGCTGAGTCTTAATGACTTTGGTCATCAGTCATCCGTCTCTGACACTGGCTATCTAGAGTTCAACTCAGTGCTTAGCCGTGGGGGACTGCCTCTGCTTCCATCAGCCACTGAACGAAGGTTCTGTTTCCCAGACTCTCTAGCCATGGGACTGTAGGCTGGCACTCCCCAGATCTATGTCTAAAATCCATATATGGGAGAGTACATGCCATGTTTCTCTTTTTGTGACTGGGTTACCTCACTCAGGATGGTTTCTTCTAGTGCCATCCATTTGCCTGCAAATCTCAGGATTTTATTGTTTATTTCTGCTGAATAGTACTCCATTGTGTAAATGTACCACATTTTCTCTATCCACTCTTCGGTTGAGGGGCATCTAGGTTGCTTCCAAGTTCTGGCTATTACAAAAATGCTGCTATGAACGTAGTGGAACAGACATCCTTGTTGTATGAATGGGCATCTTTTGGATATATGCCTAAGAGTGGAGTTGCTGAGGAATATCCATACTGATTTCCATAATGACTATACGAGTTGGCACTCCCACCAGCAGTGAAGGAGTGTTCCCCTTTCTCCACATCCTCTCCAGCATAAACTGTCACTGATGTTTTTGATTTTAGCCATTCTGACAGGAGTGAGATAGTATCTTAGAGTTGTTTTGATTTGCATTTCCCGGATGGCAAAGGATGTTGAGCACCTTTTCAAGTGCCTGTCAGCCATTTTAGACTCCTCTATTGAAAATTCTCTATTTAGTTCTGCAGCCCACATTTAATTGGATCCTTTGGTGTTTTGGAGACTTGCTTCTTGAGTTCTTTGTAAATTTTGGAGATCAGCCCTCTGTCTGATGCGGCATTAGTGAATATCTTTTCCCATTCTGTGGGCTGCCTATTTGTCTTGCTGACTGTGTCTTTTGCCTTACAGAAGTTTGTCAGTTTCAGGAGGTTCCATTTATTAATTGTTGATCTCACTGTCTGTGCTACTGGTGTTATGTTGAGGAAGCTGTCTCCTGTACCAATTTGTTCAAGGGTACCACCCACTTACTCTTCTAAGATGTTCAGTGTGGCTGGATTTATGTTGAGGTCTTTGATCCATTTGGACTGAAGTTTTGTTCATGGCAGTAGACATGGTACAATCCGCATTCTTCTACATGCCAGCATCCAGTTATGCCAGCACCATTTGTTGAAGATGCTTTCTTTTTCCATTGTATATTTTAGCTTCTTTGTCAAATATTAGATGTTCATACATGTGTAGGTTAATATCAGGGTTTTCAATTCGATTCCATTTGTCTACCTGTCTATTTTTGTGCCAATACCAAGATGTTTTCAGGACTATAGCTCTATAATTGAAGTCAGGGATGGTGATGCCTCTGGATGTTGCCTTGTGGAACAGGGTTGTTTTGGCTATCCTGGGTCTTTTGTTTTTCCATACAAAATTGATTATTGTTCTTTCAAGGTCTGCAAAGAATTGTGCCGGTATTTTAATGGGTATTGCATTGAGTCTGTAGATTGCTTTTGGCAGAATTGCCATTTTTACTACATTGATCCTACCTATCCAAGAGCATGGGAGATCTTTCCATTTTCTGAGGGCTTCTTTAATTTCTTTCTTTTTTTTTCTTTTGACCAAATTCTTTCATTCAAGAAGACCAGAGTTCACACAACCCTGAAGCATCTGCAGCAGCAGAGATTCAAAGTTCTTGTGACACAGGTCTGTCACTTGTTTGGTTATGGTTACCCCAAGGTATTTTATATTGTTTGTCGCAATTGTAAAGGGTTATCTTTCTCTGATTTCTTTCTCAGCCCTTTTGTCACCTGTGTATATTAGGGCTACTGATTTTCTTGAGTTGATCTTGTAGCCTGCTACTTTGCTGAATGTGTTAATCAGCTGTACGTATTCCCTGGTAGAGTTCTTTGGGTCATTTAGGTAAACTGTCATATCATCTGCAAATAGTGAAAATTTGATCTCTTCCTTTCCAATTTGTATCCCCTTAATCTCCTTTTGTTGTGGTATGGCTCTGGCTAGAACTTCAAGTACAATATTGAAAAGGTATGGAGAGAATGGACAGACTTGTCTTATTTCTGGTTTTAGAGGAATTGCATTGAGTTTCTGTCCATTTAGTTTAATGTTGGCTGTTGGTTTGCTGTATATAGATTTTATTATTTTATGTATGTTCCTGTTATCCCAGATCTCTCCAAGACCTTTATCATGAAGGGGAGTTGGATTTTGTCAAAGGCTTTTTCAGCATCTAGTGAGATGATCATGGGATTTTTGTTTTTCAGCTTGTTTACATGGT